CCTGCAGCCCATGGAGGATGACACACTGGAGCAGGTGGATCTGACCTGAAAGAAGCTGTAGTCCATGGAAAGTCCATGTTGGAGCAGGTTCCTGGCAGGAACTGAAGCCACAGGGCAGCCCATGTAAAAGCAGGTTTTCTGGTTCACTGGAGCAGTCTGCTCCTGAGGGCTGCAGCCCATGTAAAGACCCACACTAGAGCTGTTTGTGGAGAACTCTAGCCCATGGGAAGCCCCACACTGGAGAAGTTTTTCAAGTGTCTCCTAAGAGAGGGACACTCCCTTTGCAGCAGGGGAATAGTGTGAGAAGAAAGAGGCAACAGAAACAAAATATTACAAACTGATCACAACCCCTGTTCTCCATTCCCCTGTGTCACTTGGGAGGAGGCATTAAGAGACTTGGGAGTGAAATTGAGCCTGGGAAGAAGAGAGGGATTGGGAGAGGTTGGGATTAGTTTGGGGTTTTTCTCACTATCCTACTCTGTTAATAGTTGGCATATTAAATAATTTCCCCAAGATGAGTCTGATTTTACTTTGATGGTAATTGGACAAAAAGGATTTACCTTTGATGGTAAAAGGGCATCCCCCTGTCCTTTTCTCAACCCATGGAATTTTTGTAGTATTTCCTTCCCCTGTCCTATTGAGAGGGTAATAGAGCAGCTTGGTGGGGCCGTGGTGGCCAGGCAAGGTCAAGTGGCATTGCAGGCTCCCACACAGCAGTAAGTGAGGGCATGCATGTAGACAGCAAAGGATTAATAAGAATTTAAGTTTTAAAAAGCCATCAGTATTTTTAGCCTATTCATCTCGCTCCTTCATCCCACCAAGCCAGAAATATTAAGCATCTTATAAGGTTTTCAAATTCACTGTAGTTGCCAGATAGTGGATTGCAGTTCAGAGGATGTAAAATAAAGGTGACTATCTTGATGGAAGTAATTGGCTAAAGTAACCAGAATCATATCTGTGCTTTTTTACGTGGATGGCAAGTAAGTATTTCCTTTGCTTGCACATTGATACATTACTTGGTATTCTATTTGATCACCAGCAGTTTATAAAAGATCTAACAATGAGAGTTATGCTTGTCAGGCTGAGGACAATATTCAAACAAAAATCATAACATCACTAACAAAGCCTTTGTATCTTAAAACCAGTTTCCTTTTCTAAAGAAATTCTAAATTTCTCTGCTTCATGCCTTGCCCAAAACAAAAGCAGCTGCACTGCCATCCCACAGGGTCTGGATACAGCCAGCCAGAATGAAAATAACAGCAGCTGTTCTGATTGTCTGAATGTCACCAGGCCACCAGCAGGATCCCCATGGGAAGACCACAAACCCTACCACAGAAAGGATCTGTGCAGCACATCTGTTGCTCTTACGGAAATTAAAACACTTTGCTGAGGCTCCAGAATCTTCCATTCCCACAGGTAGTCCTGTCCTCAGATGCCAGGATGCCTTACAGTACAGAGGTGATGATGAGTCTGAACAGGCAATTATCTTTGGGCAAAAAGCCTATCCTAAGTTTGTACACAAAAGCGTATCCAAAGTTTATACACAACTCTGAAGTAACCATCACTCTTGTGTCCAAATAACTTCAGGGCAGAAACAAGATGTCCATAAGTGAAATCTTCCAAATTTTAAGTTAAAGAGGCCAGTTCTTGGTGCAGCATCACAGTCTCATTCCAGACGTCCCAGGTCCTTACAGCCAACACTCCCCTCAGAGTGCATGGGAAGCTAACTTCCTTCCATGCCGCACCCACTCCATTTTTCTTTGCTGAGGAAATTATTTAACACGTCATTGTTGTTCTTATCTGACCTCATCCAAGAGAAGAAAGAAGAATTTTTCTACACAATTTCTTAGGAAGACATATATACAAATACGTGACATTCTGGAAATCATAACTCGGATGCATAAGACACAATTGTTATGGATTTACACAGCTAAAATGAATTTCAATTCTCTGGAAAGTAACTGAAGATAATTTCTTGACAAATTATATTGTTTAGAAAGACATCTTACTAAATAGTCTTGTTCGTTCCTTAATGAATATGAATTACTGGGAGTTAATGTCTTACTGATAAAAGAGGGTCATGACGTACTGACAGCATTCAAAAGCAGAGCTTCAGTTATTAAAAAAAAAATTTTACAATACCACTACTTAGGAAAACATCTTTTTTTTTTTTTTTCTCTAGGTTATGGACTGGGTGTTTGGAAGAACTGTTTTTCTCTTTAATATTATCTAACTGCATTTATCAGATCTGGCTGCAACCTAGAGTTTGCATTCCCTGAAAGTTTAAAGTATTTTGGAAAGAAAAACAAGTCTTCTCATAAAAATGAAATATCACCCAAGCAATTTTTTTCTATAATAAAAAAATCAACACGTTTGTTAGTTTTTGTACAGTTGAAGGGCCAGGCATCCAAACACCAAGAACTCCTCTGCCAGAGTTCAGAAATTCTTAGAGCACTTAATTCTTAGAACTTAGAGCACCTGCCAAAACAGGGAGGGTTACAAACCTGAAAACTTTCTCTGGGTCTGGCTTTTGGCAGCTATTCACATGGAAATTAGAATAGACTATGTCAGAAAATCGGCTGTTAATTGTACTCTATGCTGCCAGTTTGGCCAGCTTTAAGAAATTCGGAGAATATAGACTGTTGCCTCCTCTGTAAACTGTAGAGATACCAAAGAGAGCCTTTTAGCACCTATTGCCCCAGATTTCAGGCTTGTTTCTCTACCATGAAAATAGAAATTCAACATAATCTGTTTTGCCTTCCCTCACTAACCAAGAATCCTTTCTTTATCAAAAACCTTCTTACAGTTTTCCACGTGATTTCCTGCAAGTCTTCCTGGCAGATGAGCTGTTTCAGGAGCCAATCTTCTTTTCCCATCAATATAAAGTGAGCTATTTATTCTTATCCATAGTCACCATGCTTACTGCCACCACATAACATGGTCTTGGTGTATCAATTACTCACTTTCCCATTGTCAACCACACCAAAATCCTAATTTCTGTAGGATTCTACATGGAAAAGAACTTATGTGTAACTATGGCCTGTTGCAAACACAGGCAGGTCTTCACCAGGACTTCTTCACAGATCTGTGAGTCTTTGTTCAAAAATTTTTCCTGCAAGGTGCCAGTAAGAAACACACATTTCAGGCAAGACAGTAGAAACTCTACCCCATGTGCTTTCCCCATAGGATGTAGGCATTATAATATAGGCAATCCACAGTTCTACAAGAAAACAATGCTGAATGATGGAGTCAACACAAGACAAACATTGTTTAAAGTAATTTATTCTTCAGATTTTGGGTTCATGACTTCTGTGAGGCAGTTCTCTGAGGCAGTGGATCCCAAGCTCCTGCCTCTTCCCTGAGGAGGTTAACCCACAGCTGATCAATGCCTACACTAGAAATATGAGTCCTCAGTGTGTGTTCAGCCAGATGTGGAGATTAGTCCTTGGCTGTTTCATATCCAAAAATGTCAGTTGTAAGCCTCTGTGTTCCACCTCATCTCCACAGCCAGCAGCAGAGCTTGCAGGCTTCTAGCAGCTTCTGAGGACCGCGGTGCTTTCAAAGAGCTGAAGGTTGCGAGCACTCCTTCCCAACTGCTCTCAGGGTCCATGACCATAGGCCAAACTTCCTGAAGTTATCCTCTGCAGCTGACAGCCTGCAGAAACAAGCTTGTCTGAGACCTCCCACATCAGCAGTGAAGAATGTGTTCTGCACTGTGTGACATGAGCAGGTGCACCTCTCTGTCCTCCTGCACCACATCTCAGCCTCACATGCCAGAACCCGATGGCCATACTCTCTACCTGTCCCTTCCAAACACACCAGTCCAGGACTGAGGCTCCAGGATGAGGCCCAAACACTGGAATTTTCCTAGATCCTGTGAAATAAATGAAATGCCAGTCAGTTCTGTAGCAGAATGATTGCTTTGGAACAGTAGATAAATTTTCATGGGAAATGCCATGAGATCAGGTGTCCTCCAGCTTTATTTGGTTTCTTTCAGCTGTTGAACTAAACAAAGCCCTATTCCCAGGGAAATAATCCTACAAATACATACAAAGTGATCATCTTTCACTGGAAAAGGACATGAAAAGGACATCTTGAGGTCATTTTGGATTTTCTCTGCAAAAAAGCCTGATGTTCAGAAGCTACCAAGACGGCAAAGAGATTGTGAAGAGTTACTAGCAAAAGAACAGAGAACAAAACAGGAAATGTTATTATACTGATGCAACACATCCTTATCTTGAGCACTGGGTGTGATTCTGGTCTCCACTGACGAAAAAGATATTGTAGCATGAAAATAAGTTATTAAAAAGAGCAGTAAGGATATCAGAGGCAAAGAGGGCTTTTGCTACAAGAATAAACCAAATTGTCTGTCACTCTGTGGCTGAGAAAGGAGAGGACTCTCAGCAGCAGGCAAAATTACACTGGAAACTGTTTTTCAATACCTCTCATGAGAAAGGAAACAGGGAAATGATCTGACATACAGTTAAAGCAGAAAACACTACTCTTTCACTTAAGTAAAACCCAAAACTAATTGCTGTGTGAAGTTTTTAGTAAAGTAAATGCACAGTTGGTTTCAAGAGGTGTGACTCAAGGAGAAGCACACTGATCACCATTTAAGATGCTGTTGGAAAAGCTGCTTTAAACTGAGGCTGTCCATCCCCTGTGGTTGACACTGGCAGGGTTTGTCATCCTCTTCTTCACCCATTATTGATGGCTTGTGCTCTTGGTAAGCAATAGGATAAAGACCTGGTTGTGGTGGGTGGGGGAAGTTGTGCAAGCTGGTATGACAGCTCTTATTTTCTTCCATAAACAGGGAAACAGAAGAAATGCAAAAGTGTAGGCAACTGTCACTTGAATTTATATTCCTTTTTTGTTTTTGACAGTTATTCAATTTCATTTCACAAGAATGGTGATTAATAATTCTGCTAAGAGCCAAAAGAGACAATTTTTTCCCATGAAACCTGGAATTCCTGCAGTCTGGAGATTTCTTCCTGTAAGGTCTCAAGTGGTGATTTTGGGAAAGGTTTGCTCATTTCCTCCCCTATGTTCTCACTTTGGAGCAGAAAATCTTCTAGGGAAGAAAGAAAAAAAAAAAAAAAGGCTCACAATAACAAATGTCCATTCTTTGTGGCATTCTGTGTGCACAGAAATAGAGAGTAATGCAGATATATGCAAAAAATGCTTCTCCAGAGAGGGGACAATTAAACAGATGAATTTTGAGCACTGAGAACAAATATAAAGTAGCAAGATTTTGCATTTCTAAGGAAAGAAATTTAATCTTTTATACCAACAGACAGTTTCCCATTCCAAATCCCACTTTAATTGCTGTGTCAAAGCCCTTTTGGGAAACAGGATTTCTGGCAGTCTTTTCCTCAGTGTTTCTTACTAGCCATTTAAGTCCCACAGCACCACACAGCTCTGTTGAAACCTCAGCTCACTCACTACGCTGCGCGTTAGGGCACGTGGTCATGCTGCTCGAGCAGCACTTCTCTGGATCCATGCTCTTCTGTCACAGGCGTCACGTCAGTGCTCATCCTTGCGCCTCCTGGCTTTTGCTAACTGGTCACTCTGCACCCTGCCAGTGCAAAAGGAAATGAAACCTGCCTTGTGCTCAAATTGCCAGTGAGATATGAAGGAACTGCTGTTCCTCAGAGGCAAAGTCTAGACTGCAGACATTGCACAGCTTGGCAGGGCCGCTGCCTCAACTGCAGGCTCAGTTTGCATTAAAGCAGAGGATTTGGGGGAAAAATGTGCATGCAAAAGCAGCAGATTTGGGCACTTCTAGGTCCTTTCACTGCTGTGGAAACTATACCTCAGTGTGAAGGAGAAACTATATTTCACCTTCTTTCTATTTATAAAAGAGTAGCTGAAGCAAGTAAGTGTAAAAGAAGGAAAATTCAAGTACACTTTGTTTTATCACCTAATGTGGACGTGTCGGTATCTCTCAGGGTACATAAACATCCCTAATGTAGAAGCAGAAGTAAGTAATAGAAACTATGAAGGAAATGGAAAAAATGCATATGAGTTTAGTGAATATTCAACCTGGAAAGACTGACAAATCACAGCAGGTAAGCCCTCACATACTCTTGATTCCAGAGTAAGTGTGCACCGTGTACTGGACTCCCAAGCAAGCACAGGCAACCCTGAATGCTGGGTCAGATAACTGCACTAATGAGGGTCACACCCTCTGTCCAGAGCACTGATTAGCTCAGTGAGGATCTTGAGGCTCTTGTATCTTAAAAAAATTGCCTGACATCCTCAGGGGACGTGACAGAGTTTACACTAGGTAACACATGGACTATGGGCTAGGCCAAGCCAAGGGTGCTCTGTACTGCCTCAGCAGCCTCAGCGCAGACATTCCCACACTGCTGCAGATGTCACAGGACAGGTGAGTGACACGGAGCCAGTTGGGTCAGACACTGCACTCCCAGACAGTACCAAGACTCATAAAAGAAAAGTGATTTACAACTCAAACTGAGAACAATCCACAATGCCCAGACAAGGCTTTCAGTCAGAAAATTAACCAGAAACCAGAATACCCAACTTCTAAGGTCTGTAAGGGCTTCTACATCGGAGGAAGAACACTCCATCCTGTAGCCTGAAACTGGGATGCTACTTGTTTGGAACTTATAACTCATGAGGAAAACAGAGAACAGCCAAGAGTGAATTTGGCTCCAGCCATTTAGGGGATGGACATTAATAAGAAATTTATATTCTGAGGCTCTGACTCCTTTTAAGTGGGTTGGGCTCTCACACGTTTGCTTCCAAGAAGCAAATCTGTACTACCAAGCACAAGTTCTGCCAGGTACCTCAGAAGAAGCAGAAAGTGTCCTAGGAGAAGCTGGGGGAGCACAGTCTTGTTCAGAGCAAGGGAGGTCACCAGTTTCCTAATGACTGCTCTAACCACAAGGCCAGTATGAAAATGAAGAACTGAGCGGGGGTGCAGCATGCATTCAGATTTTTTGCATCATCAGAGCTGTTTCTGCTCTGTTAACATATATTCTCAGAAGACAGATGGCCAGCTTACATCATGACTGGGGGTGGAAGTAAGTATTTCCCATTAATTACCTCTAGATTCAACAGTAAGGATTAATCAAGAGTAGCCAAATAAGAAAATAGAACTCTTTCTGAATTTCTTAGAGGCCCTAAACTTCTGCCACTAATCAGACTGGACCAACCCTCTCCCTTTGAGAGTTGTGAGTGTACCTAAATTCATGCAAAGAAATTGTCCATAGGCACATTTCTACCTCCACAGGATATCACAGAAGCAATACTGTGTTCATACAAATTAATTTATACTAGTTTTTTCAGACAACCAGAAATTTTCTGAATGAGAGTGCTTGTGTGGAGAATCTTTCCACAGATCCTCCTCCTGCTGTTATCACAAAGCTTATCAATACTGGCAAATCAGCAAAATGTTTCTGTCAAACTGGTTCTCTGCCCCAGAAAAACCTCAGGTGTCAGATCTGACCTTTGGATAGCCACAGTTTGAATTTTAAGAGCTCAGCAGAAAAGGCAGTCTCTCATAAAAATATAACCAGAAAATTGATTTTATCTCTCTATATCACTAGCACCCTTTTTCTATGAATTCATATGCTAAAGGCTGGAAAGACACAATTTAAAAGTGGTCATAACGAGAACAGCAACCCCCTGACTCACAAACCAATGAAGAAAGCATATCTGTAAAGCAATTGCTACATTATAGAACCTTTAAAAATAGGTGGGAGATACTGAAGTCTTTGAGTTAGTCTTATTATTAAAAATATTCTACCGATTTCTTCTGGTTGGATCATTTGAGTCAAACAAAGTCTGGAAAGAAGGAGTTAACTTCTAGTGACTGAAATTCTGGGTAAATTAATGAGAAGGATGAAGAACCCAGAAGTTTAGGTCAAAATGTAAAGTCCAACAGGAAGCAGTACCATTTGCATCAAGACTAATTTTTTTTTTTTTTTTTTGCATCAAAATAAATATTTATGTTCCAAAGACCAAGACAATAGGATAGTGATGACAAAAATAGAACCTGTGCTTGCAAAATATTTCAAGGTGATTTTCACTAAGTCCCTTCAGATGGTCCATTAAATCTTGAAAAGGCAAATAAATTTACTGCAATAAACAACGGAAATACCAGATCTTGAAACAACAAACATCTAGTTGGAAATACTGAAATCATGGCAAAATGTCAAATTTATGGAAGGATAAAAAGCATCTGTGGAGTTTCTTTTGGCAACATAATGGACAATGACAACAAATGTTGTTGACACAAAGAAACAGGCAGTGATAGACAAAAGTAGACAATGCTGAATTTTGATGAGTCTAAAATTCAGACAAGATTATTCTTTCCAATACTTGCCATTTATAAATTAAGCTATCAATAAACAACACACAAAAAAAAATAGACAAAAAAGAACACTTGCCAACAGTGGCAGCAAACTTTGATGGAATAGCTCCATCCTTGTATTGCTTTCATAGTTCAAGTCATAGAAATATGAGAGCAGCTGTGCTGCTTCAGAACATCTAACTCAGTACTTCTTCTGAGGTAAGGACTATTAAGAAAAACAAAGAGTAAAATAAAATCTAACACTCACTGTAACCCTACCTCAGTACTGTCCTAGCCTTCAAAGGCTCTTACCACCAGCAATGTCCTGAGCCTGTTAATGTTTTGTCTATTTATTCCCATTCAAAACCTGGTCTCTGCAGGAACCCGTGTGGACTTCGATGTGTGCAGTGTCCTCTGTCAGTGGAGCTTCCAATGTGAGAGCCAGCCCAGCAACTTGGGGCAGCTGCTGAGATGCCAGTCTGATTTTCAGGAACTCCTTTCACCATGGCTGGAGGCAGAATGCCTGGCTGGGTTAGCTGGGCCTGACTCTGCACAGCATTTCTCATGCTTTCCTCCAGTGTTTGTTGTTCCTGTTTTTCCCATCAGCCCTCGGAAGTCAACTGTGTCCTTTGGCTGACAGACAGCTCTTGGCTGGAGGAATAGGTCAGCTGGAGCTATTGCAGCTGGCACATCTCCCTCCAGCCCTTACATACCCCTAGCTGGAGGAATGTGGGGACTCACAGCATCTGTAACTAAATTCATTACGTGACAAAAGCCTTGGTTTCCTCATTTAGGGTTTTATGATCACCTGCAGGTGGGTATATCCCCCACTCCTTTATGAAATACAGGTGCATCTCTTCACTGTAGGTCAAAAATCACTCCTACTACAGCTCACCTCAAAAGGCCCACCTCTGTACTCACAGCTGGAAAATACTTTGCTGACACCAAACCAGGAGCTTTTAGTGGAAGAAAAAAATCCATTCCGCATCTAAGGCAAGAGAATTTCCGCTACACTGGGGCCTGTAAAGGAACATGGTGATCCAGTTGGTGGCCCCACTCAGGAAATCTAAAGATCATCAGGCTGATTTGCGTTATCTTCAAAGAAAAAAGCCAAGAGCAATGAATATGTCCATATTCAGTACATTTGTGGTTAGAGAGGGGTAGGTACAAAGATAAAATGGCACTTTCCTGCTTCACGTGTCCCACAAGTAGCTCAAATTGCAACATATGATCATAATCAGTAATTATATACAGTGCTGCTGTCTTGATTCTTCCTCACCTCCTCCCTTCCTCACCAGGCCAGGCCACAAAGAATTCATAATGCTGCCAAGTCCAGGTCAAATTTTTGCAAAGCAGTACAAAAATTCTGGCTTTTTTCCAATTAGCATCTTACTCAGTTGAGATGGTATTTAGCTACCAAAGTAGTCATGTGGCTATTTTTTAAAATGACATGTTTTCTTTTGCAAAATGTGTACTTAACTCCCATTATGATGTGGCCAAGAATTCTCATTTCATTTCCTATGGATGACCATCTCATACTATCCACCTACTCTAGAAATGGAAATGGCCACCATCCTGTATTATTCACATCCTTGAGAGAAATGTCTCAAGTGCTCTAGGCCAATCCCAGCTAGGAGCTGTTGTAATTTACAAATGCAAACATATGAGTAAGGTGGTTGTTTTTTTGAGAGACACAGCTGTGTGATGCTGAGTATGAGGCCAGCTAGAGGCAATCTTTTTGGTGGGTTTCAAGG